AATGTAATTGTAAAACATGCCTAAACAGCAGCTGCTCTTTATTTCCTTTTTCCACACCTACTGTAAGCAAGGGCTTGCCATAGCTCATGCAATTTGGGTCATTACACATTATATCAGACTACAGATGCCAGTTATTCCCATTTTACTTTTCCAGCAAAATTCTGGATGACATCTTCAGCCAAACACAAGGAGAGGGAGAGATATATTGTACCTTCTACTCTACTGGGATCTGAGAAAACAAGTTGAAGTGCCTTCTACCACTACTTGCATTGACCAGATCCTCTTCTCAGCTCTCCTAGAGCTGTTGAGGAAAAGCAGGGACTTTAAGGAGGTTCATGTGGACACTCATATTCTCCCCATGTCCACTCTTTTCTAGAAAACTCTCCCAACACAGCAGACCTATGCTTTTTGAAGAGGAGCTTCCAATTTTGAGCCTAGCTTTAGTTTAAAAACATCATTTTTCTTGTACATTCTCTCAAAAACTGCATCTGCAATGGAATCTTTAGAGTGCAAGAATTATGTGTGGTTACTGGCTTAATCTCTGCTGGATTCCCAATGGTCTATTTTTATCTCGTGATCTCAAAACAATTTTGAGATGTTGCACAACAACCAACAGTTCTGATGCAAAGAAATGGTAGCAATGCAGTTTTTCAAGTTAAAAATCTGGATATGATGCTGGATTGGCAACATCTGACTGGCTGAAGATTGTGAAAGAAAGAGTTGAAGTAGAGTAAAGGATGTTACCCAGAACAGCTAGAAGTTAAAATAAGCCCAAGGTTATCAGGTCTTCAGCAACATCTTACATATAATAAAAAATACAAAGCTATGTAATTAACTGGACAGTGGAGAACATTTCCAGAACATGCAGAGAGTTCATTTTGAAGTCATAGCAATTTTCTTCATCTGCTGGGACTGCATCTGTCAGTTGCCAGAAAGTACTCAATGCTGACTATCTCTATTCCTGCATAACTCTTACAAAACACAAAAAGAACACAAACAATGTTTTTCCTTTAATCTGTTTGTATGTTTCAGATAAAGCTATTCTGATAGTTTAAGACTATTTGTTCAGATTGCACAAGCCATTCAGTGCCAGAGTTATTTAAATCCTGAGAAGAGGTACTACAATAGATAGAAATGTTGTATGAATAGAACATAAATGATGATAATGGAAGGGCTGATTCAATAAACAGAAACTTCAAGCTGAAAGCATGAATGAGAAGGCACTGGATCTCCAGCTCCACTGATGTGGAACATGGGGTCACAAAAAAATAAGGGCAAATGCTCCATGTTGCCCTGCCTAGATTTATCCCATGCTCTGAAAACTGGACACTGTTGGATAAGCTACTGGAGCTGCCACCTTGCAGATGATATTTGATACTGACAATCTAATCATCTGCAGCACTTTTTGTAAAGAATAAGGAAATAGCTGTAGTGAACTGGCCTCATTTCAGCCTGCATAATTACACCCTGCACACCTATGATTCCTTTGCCTTTTCTTAGGGGAAAAAGAGAACATGTTCTTCCCTTGCTGTAAGCCTTTTGCCTAGGAAATCTCAGCTACAGCTGCAATCATCTTGTGCCTAAGTTGATATCAAACTGTTAAATTTGCAATGTACTTTGAGATCGTTTATTCTAAATCTTAAGATTATTATTGCAGACATCTCAAAGGACTACATATTCCACCCTGCATGTTCCAATAATGAGGCATGAAAGAGTAAACTGAGAGTTTGGTTTCTGATTCCTTCCCCTTTTTTGCCCTGCCCATTTATATGCTTTGAAAAGTGAAGTCATAACACTGTCAGAACTTTTTTTTTAGTGGTTTAATAAACATGACATGCTTGCACTTGCTTTGCATTTTAATAGCAATGCAGTGGCAATAAGACACTTCCACAAATATAATGCATGCAATTATATAGGGTTTTAAGGGCTAACTTTCTGTCAGGCATATATACACACACATTTTAAAATTCTTTTGTTCAAAACCTAAAAATCCCTTCTCATTTTTCACTTTCTCATTATGGGTACCTGATTGCCCTTCAGGTGGAATTTGAAGGGCACATACCACTTAGAGCTGTTAAGAGCCAAATCTTTGTGACTGTATCATTATAGTTAGCTTCAATGGAAACTTTTCAATGGCACCAGAAGAGTTTCTATGGAAGTGGTCACATTGTTGATCTGACAGTATTTAATCTTTTTCTTCCTTGAGGACAGCTCCAATATGAAGGATCTGTTCCCTAATCTGCATATATATATACACACACAGCTCTGCTTGATTGTATTTGTATTTTTCCTCTCCAGCCTTCTCTTAACTTCAGTGCTCTCCTACATTTCAGTATACACAGTGAAATGCACCTTGACTGTGTCCAGGGTGTGCTGCTGCCCTGGTGTGCTGTGTTTCAGTGTTGTGTGTCTGGTGCCTTGACCAGCAGACAGATGTGACAGAACACTGAGGAGTGACCACTGAGAGCATCAATGCTAAGAGCGACCATGGCCAAGCATTTTTAACACAAGAAGTTTGGTTCAGGATTTTAAACTCCCCAAGTATTGCAATGGCCTGTCCAGGGTTTTTGGTTTGACCCATTTTAAATATCTTGTGTCTATTATGTGAATAGACCTTCATTAACCTGCCCTGAAGTTCTTAAAAATTAAATTAAATCTCACTAGAAAAGATTTAAGTAGTAAAGGGGTAGTTTTAGTTCTCAGGGATATAACTTGTACGGTGTTATGCTTCTCATTTTGGGCCATCATCCCACCCTCTCTCTTGCCAGGCTCGGGGTGCCATTTCACTTATTTTTATTCAGAAGTAAATTGGATGACCAGGAATTAAATTAATTCCAGAGTCTGGGTCAAAGTGCATTAAAATAAACAAAAGGACTCATATTAACTTTAGTAGAATACCTGCAACATTTAGCAGGGCACTGCAGTTAACATAAACCAAAATATGCACATAGTTTTAAAGGAAAAGCTTTAATATTCCATGCTATACTGACAATATTTAATCTATGTTTATGCTAAGCAGCATAACTTTCTTTTATATTTCAGATGTTAACATTCATAAATTTACAGTATAACACTGTATTTTGCTTTTGCATTAGGTTCAGCTAGATTGTTATCTTGACAAACATTTTCAAAGATTTTTTACTTACTAACTCAAGAGACTACAATCAGAATTTTTCTGCTACATACCTTCACTGGTCTAGGGATTATAGGCTTGAGCAACTTACATTGTATAATAAGCTGCCAAATGAGATGAGGTAAAACAGTAACTCCACAAAAGGATCTAATTCAGTGTACTTACTGTGTGCTAGCATTAGTCAGTGATTAGGTTATTAAATCCTCTCTAATTATTATTTGAAGCTTTTCATAAATAGCTTTTTGCAAAATGGATCTTATCTAAAAATTTAATTTATTGGATGTTTACAGGCTTAAAAAAAGTGATTTTATGATATAAACCCAGAATTACTTCCTTTTTAAATAAACCAAATTGGTGCTGTAATTGAGATGAGCACGCTAATTTTTTTCACACAATAATCTGATATGGGACTTTCTTCTCTCAAGAGACTTGCTTGATCTGCTCTTTATAGACATTCAGTCTCTGTAAATATGCTTTTGGTTTCTTTATCAGTAATAGTATTAGACCTGAATGCTTCAGTATACAGTATAATGGGATATTAAAGGGCTTTCTGTATATGTTTTAGACAAGCTAGTCTAATAGAAAGCTAGTCTAATAGATAGAAAATCACATTGCTTTCTTTCCCTTTTTTTTCCCCTCTCTGTCATTGTTTGCCTTTTCTTCCTGCTTGTACTTTGCTACTGAACCATCTGACTATCTGTGTTGCCATGGGAAGGACTGCAATGCCATAAATTCAGAGAAGATAAGTTCCTGTGCTCGTTTTTTTTTTTTCCATTTTATTCTTAAACAATCATTAGCACAGGTTAGCTGCTTTCATAAGGGTGTTCTGGCACTAGAGGAGGATTGTAAAATATTCATTTCTGGAAAAGATACAGCAAAAACATTCTACTTGTTTCATAGAAAGGAATCAACCTACACAGCAAAAATCCATGCTTCCCAACTTGCAGATACCTGACTACTGAGAGCTGAACCAAATTATGGGCAGTCATCCATCTAGTCTTATGGTAGCTAATGTGAATTTCAAAAAGGCTACAAAAATGAGTTAAAAACACGTTGAATCAAAAAAAAAAAAAAAGTGTGCTGGATGCCTCAGAGGATTCGTGATGCAATTCAGAGGTTTTAATCTTCAAATGACTGGTCAAACACTCCACAGGCTGAAATTTGCCACCTTCTAAAATCTCTGAAGTGTGGTTCATCCACAGGGAGCCCAGTGGCCTCAGCTCAGTTGCCAGTGCCAGATCTTCCCATCAGACAAAAGACCTTCCTTGTGCAAGCAGGCTCCCACTCAGTGGGCTCGAAAGGCAAAGGCCAGAACACCTTCCAAAAGCCTTCCAAAGTCCTCCAAGTACCATTGTAAATAACAGACCTGGGTTTGCTCAACAGAAAACTCCTTGAGCCACAAACTAAATGTCTTTGGACAATGGGGTCCTCAAGCCAAATCTATTGAAGTAAAAGGGAATGTCCCAGCAGGGCATGGCAGAATCGCACACTGTGATGGGATCACAGCTCCTCAGGTAAAGCCAGACCAAGTGCCTTTGCATGTCAGAGTAGGGTCCTGAGTGCTGAACACTGCAAGGGCCAGTCAGATCACCAGGTCATATCCCCACAGTACCTGCTTTTCCCATTCCAGATCAAGACTAGGGGCTCACACCTATCCCCCGGGACAAGTTCCAAAGCTCCAAACAGGCAAAATGAAGACCCTCACTGGTACTTGGCAACAAACACAATCTGGCCCTGCTTCTGTCACTGTATTAATCATCAGTGCTGACATGAGGAACAGCTCATTTTGACCAGAAAACAACAGAAATGTGATTCAGAAAATACAGGGAGAGACGTGCAAGGCTCAGGAAGCCGAGTGTAGACTCACCGTCCTGTCTGCAGCCACACGCTAATCTCACGTTTGGCTGATGGCTCTGTGCTGAGCTGCTCTGTTCAATATTTTGCATGTTGATTGGCTTGTTATTCACTTCTGCCTCTGCTGGAAGCCAGACTAACCTGTGGGGGAAGTGCAGAAAACAATTACAGTATATTGAAATGGTCATACAAGTGCAGTACACTGCAACACTTTACATAATTTATTAGGTGTTACTACACGCACTGGCACTCACATGACAGAGATCTTAACAAGATCAACAAATAGGACAACATCTGCATTCCTGTAAGAACATTTGAGATGAAAATTTAACATTAAACCAAAGCTGTACTTACTGCAGCACAAACACTGCAATAAAGTGGTCTGCCTTGACTTGCAGTGTATTATGTTAACGTAGTATGGTTGCCAGAGTAAAACAGAAATGTTCATTACAGCAGCAATTAATTGCTTGCTATTTTTGAAAATTAACAGTTAATATATTTTTCCAAACTAATCCAATTCAGTGCTACTCTGAATTTTCATGCATCATTTCTTTATTTTTGTCCCTATTGTGCACACAAGGTCAATTAACTGGTAAATATAATAATTTTACAAATATAGCAAGCAGCAGCTATCATACATAACTTATTTGCATATTTCCTTGTTTCTGAAGAGTACAGTGATGTTACAGGTCTGAAAATCTTTGTAACTCTAATAAAGTGAGAAACTGGTTTTAAGTAAATCTTCTGTTTCAGTAGGTATTCTAGTAAACATGCCATTTCTTAGATATAAATCAGCAAGTAGAAGCTGGGTTGCAGATTTCAGAACTTGTCTCATTTGCATTTTCAAAACAGAATGGAACTGAAAGCTTTCAAGCTTTATTGTTCAATGCCACAATTCTGTTGCTCTTTGTAAACGAAACGGAAAAGAGATGTATGTGAATATACACATTTTGGGGTAAATGAGTTTTTCAAATTGTAAATGAATATCATTGTTTGTAGTCACCTTCACAGCATTTCTGAAGTTGAAGCTGTTGAGCTGAATTCTGACTGAATTTTATGAAAGATTTCAGGAAACATGACTCACAAGATTTTAATGCTGGCAGACAAAGACCCCTTTCTGACTCTATTTTTGATTTCCAGAGTCCCTTTAAATAAAGAAGACATTCAAGACTGAGGAACAATGGAGAACAGCTGCAAGGATGATTTCTTTTAAAAGGAGAAATCAAAGGGCAGCACTCCTCATGCGCACTATATATGGCAATCTCTTTGGCTGAATATTCAAGGACTGGCTGGTACTCACATGCTGTGCTGAAGCTGTGTGGCTAGAGAGGCTTTCCTAGACATATTTCTTGATGACAACTGCATGCTGTTGGATTTGTTTCAGTGGCTGTGAATCTGTGAGCCATGCATATTGTGTTCCATTTGCCACTTCACAAGAAAAAATATTTAGTGAGCTTATGGCAAGCAGGACACCTCATTTGTGCTGATTGGGGCAGATAGGGTGATTTGTAGATTCACACATGCTGAGCTTCAGGCACTTAGAAAAAACTACATTGGGCAAATTTGAGATTTATGCCCCAGCCCCAATGCAATTCATGTGTTGGGGTGCTCCTACTGAGAGCCACCAATGGGAGCTGACAGCTGCACACAGTGCACTGGAAACATTTTAGAGCTTGCTGTAAAGAAAATAGAGCAGTCTTCGCCTAGCAGGGAGGAAAATCGATGAGTTGGCACTTGGCAGTGGTGACCAGCAGGAGGATGCTTCTGATGAATGCTGAGTCATTGATTTCCCTCCCTGATCAGCAGCAGCTGCTCCATTCACACTGCAGAGCCTCCTCGCTGTGACCACACGTGTCAGCAGCCTTTACTGGCATTAAGGCAAGAGGTATCAGCTGACAACACACCCAATTTATGTATTTTTGGTTTCAATAGCACTACCTTACAATTTCTAAGTTGCTTCTCAGCTAGGGCACCTAAAAAGACATTGATATCAAGGCAGGAGTTCCAATAGCACAGGCAGCTCACAGGTACAGGCAGTATTTGCACAACAGATGTGTGAATGTCACCCAAGCCTTCGGTTTCTTTTCTCACCAGAAGACATAAATTTCATAAACTCAGAGCACAGCCAAGCAAAGAGGTTAAGACATCTTCTGAGAAGGTAGGCTGCAAGTCAGCACAAAGCTTACATGTTTAAAAGCAGACATGTGCAAATATGCAGATGGACTGGGCTCTGCTCATGTGCCATGCCCTCAGCATGTGTGCTATAACATGGTATGGCTGAAGACCAAAGCATAATTGTAGTTTGCAATTTTATGACAGTAAAAAAGCAACAGGTAAAACAGGTGAGACTACAATGAATGACTACAATGAAAGTGTAGTCAGAGCAGGTTATTACAAATCTCAGCATTTGATGAGGATGTATATATTTCTTAACATGTTCCATCACTTGCTATATTGTTTACATTGCCATAATTATTACTTAGGAAGCTAATGTGTTTGTGTATCTGTTTGAATTGATCTCTAAGGAAGCGGTTTACATAAGGAGAAAAAAGAAGAGAGGGGGCTGTCATGAGATAAATGCTGTTTCTCAGGATTAAAATCGACTGAAATACACTATTTATAGTCAGGCACTTCACTGCTAGTAGCAATGCTGAGCCTCTACATTTCAGGTTCCATTCATTGCAGAATATGCATGACTTTGCCTCAAAAACACTCGCAGAAAAAGTCATAGGTCAGGCTTCTGTGCTTGAACTGGTATTTTAGCAAAAGCTCACGTGGCCAGCCACAAACCCATTCTCCCTTAACTCTACTGTGCTTGTCCTCTGAGAAAGAGCCTCTTCACCACAGTGACAAGCCTGGATTCAGGAGAGCCCATCACTGGCAAACTCTATTTTCCTAGTTAATTCAGCTGCAGATTGAAAATTGATCATTTATAGTTTGCTCCCTGCTTTCATAAGGCACAAGTCTACTGAAATTCTTTTGCTTTTTCAAGCCTGACCTGGCTTCAGTGAGTCCTTGTTAGAGCTGCATTGAATTCAGTGGTTTCAGTTTAGATAGATTTCTGGAAAGTGTACATCAGTTACAACATCCACTCAGGTTAGAGGGTTTTTTTGAGTTTATGAACTCTAAAATTTAAGATAAGCATCACTGCCAGCACCTTTCCTTTGCCTTATCTGCCTGTATTTCTGAAAGCCTGCCTTCACTCTGCTGTGCCTGGGGCAGCTGAGCAGGCTCCTCCTCATACCAGTGGCTGCATTAGCACAGAAGCTTTCAAGGATAACTGCTGCTCCTCGGGGAGCCCCAGAATAGGAGCAGGCAAGAGTGCTCTCATTCTTTTATTCCTTCTCACATCTGGGGCCTGAAGTGTCTTAGGCTGTGCTAAAAATCTGCTAACTTAAGAAACAAGTCTCTGAAATCAGATCGTCAGCTATATTGCAGGTAATGAGCTGTGCAACTTCTGAAATCATACACGTATCACTTTCTTTAAAATTGTTGACCAAGGGTATGAAAAATACAAAACATAAATAGCAAATGAATTCAAAAGTATAATGTGACCCTGTCTCATGTCTGAATTTCTTTGGTATGATCCACATGGACAGAAATGACTTGCATGTTAGCAGTTGCCACTGATGCAAGGAGCAGTGTTCTTGTAGGTCTCCATTTAGTTTGCCAAAGATTTTAGTAAAATACTGACTTTGCAATTTGAAGGCCAGGTTCTGGTACTGACTGATGAACAGGTGACAAGGAATAGAAGAGGAATCAAATGAAAAACAAGGAACATGACAGATACTAAATTTCATTATTGACTAAAAATTAAAGAACATTCAACTCAGGGCAGAATTCAGAGAGAAGAGAATACTTTATGTGTAAAATGTTTTTAACTTCTATAACCCTGATCAGAAGGAGATATGCTACCCATAAATAATGAATTCTCAATACATATTATGCATATTGGGACACATAGTCCAAGTTTTCAGTAACAAGAAGTTTCATTAAATAGATGTTCCAATGAACAAGATTCTGCAATGTTTAGATCATATCTGACTAATAAAATTAAAGATTTAGACATAATTAATATAGATCCAGACATTTACCTAATTAAATTGAACAGGGTAGAAAGAATTGATTATACATTTCCTTATGAATGAAAATAAACACACAAATTAGTGTTCTTCTAAAGATAATGTATAACTCTAATGCTTTGATGATATAAATCTCAATTTTTTAAATGTAAGATTGCTACTGATCAGAAAAAATGTATGTTATTACAGTTAGTCAGTCAGATTGTCCAAATCAGCATAGGAGTTGATGGAACAATGACAATTTACCATATCTGAGAATCTGCTCATTATCTTCAACCAATGAGGAACACAGAATCAACATTTGTAAAGAGGAACAGTTCCTTAGAGACACTATCAAAAAAAACTTTTTCAGATGAAAAATGAAAATCAAAGATAACACTGCAAAAGCTGTCACCATAACCAGTACTCAAACAGCTTTAGTATATGTAAAAGAAGAAAATTTATCTGAAAATAAATTCAAGAAAGGCTTCCCATAATGATGTGAAATTCTGAGAAGGGGTTTAAAATTTTTCTTGAGCTCTTGAAATCAGATAAGATCCTTGAAAATACACTTTTTCTAGATGGGGTAACATTTGGAGTCATTATATTGTGTGTATCCCTTTCTGTTACATTCCTGAAAATAAAATCTGAGTATTCAAGAACAGCCCCAAATAGGCTGCCTTTTGGACACAGAAGACATTCTTAAAATATATTCCAAAAACTCTCAAATGTTCAGAGAAACAGCTGTTCAATCTTATGTCATATCACTACACCATTCTTGTTGCAAAAGATAGAGACCTTGCATAATCAACATATTTTCCTGGCATGGTCTCCTATCACTCCTGTTCTCACTCTCTAACGTAGCTGCTGCATTAGCAGCACTTCTGTTTGACCACATATGCTGAAGATTATTTTCTAGAATAGACTTTTACAGTCAAAGCTTCATGAATACTACTGGTCAGAGCTGTCAGGACCCTTCTTCAAAGAAGACAATTTTAGTTTTAAAGACATCTGGTCAATATTTGTTAAAGCTTGTAGATTGGTTTGATGATGTGGGACTAGAAACTCCACTGATATAAA